GATATGAGGTGTCCCCCAAAACTCATGTGAGAGGTAATACAAAAAGTTAGAGTTGAAATAAATGGGTTAACCTAATTAGTGCATTAATGCACTTGAATGTATTAATTGGGTGGTAACTAGGCAGATAGGGTATGGCTAGAGGAGATAGGTTACTGAAGGCATACCTTTGGAGTTTATATTTTTTCCCAGGAGTGGAGATGTCTGCTTGCTGATTACCATGTCTGAGTTGCTTTTCTCCTCCACACACTTTTGCCATGATGTTCCGTCTCACTTTGGCCTAGAGCGACGGAGTCCGCCAACTACGAACTGAGACCTCTGAAATAAACTTTTCTTCCACTAATTGTTCTGGTCAAGTCTTTTGACCACAAATCTGACTAAAACAAAGATCAAAAATAACTCTACGTGGGGTGGAATATTCATGTGCCTGAGTCACTGAGGACATTAAATGAAAACCCAGACATTAGGGGCAGTCATTTCTTATGTTCACACACCTTGTGGCTGCCAGCATTCATATTGAAAATAAAAGACTCATCTACTGAACATATTCTTAAACTTTTCTGGGACGTGAGCAACAACTTACAATTGCCAACTCCTCAACACATCACATATGAGACAGGAAGCATTAGTTGGTCATGGACTATACAAGTAGGGACCCAGTGGTTCACTCTACTGACACCTTGTGGAGAGAGAGAATATCTAAATTTAAAGTAAAGCCTACTGTGATGGGAACCTGGCCCTCACAAGTACAGGGGATATTACCCTCAGGAGTCATCACTTGAGGAACACTTTGTATCAGTTATGGCAGGTATGTATTTCAGAGGTATATTTCTTTCTATGCCCCCAAAGTGCAAATAGATTGGTCTGGTGTACTTGCCCAGGCAAGCCTATTGTACTGGTTACTTAACTAACACATTATGGTACAGTGGCCTGTATTCTGCCTCATGGAGCTATGTTGCCATTTTTGGTGCCTATTAAATACCAGTCATATTTGCCATAGGTTAACAACAAGTTTTCCTGGACTGGACAACATATATTGCATATTACTCCAAACAGACTATTAGAATGCTCAGAACTCCCTGTGACAGCAGCACAAAACTCCCTGTGACAACAGCACAAGGACTTCCCTGGGTAGTATAACCTACAAATGAGATATAATGGACTTGGTTGAAATAACTGCACTGAAAATACTCACAAAATGGCCATCACATAATCATTCTCAACCAAGGGTTTTGCTTTAATTAGAGAGACACTGAATACTTCTCAAGTACCTGGGTACACTTACATATAGAATGGGCTTTCATGGGATATAGCAATTCAGGTTATAGTTAAAAAGACAGTATTCCATTTTGTCACCTAATAGGTTCCTGATAACCAGACACCGAGCTTTATGCCTGACTCTGGGTAAAAACAGTGAGTTCAGCAGATATCCTCAACCTATGTTACTCACAGGCTTTCCCCCTGCCATGGGGTGCACTATGGATACGTGGGCCTGTGGATGACCTTGCCTATCTTACAATTGGACAGGATGGTGTACTAGCCCAGCCCTAGTTCTGCCTCTTTTAATATGTATAACAGTGACGGGGATAACATCAAGGTACTTCACACAAGGCAGTGCTATGCTGTGCCTCCTGGTGGTTCTATCCATTAGCTCCACAAGCTGCAATGATGGTGGAAACACTCAGGTCTCAGCTTTACCCTCCCACACTGCCCAAACTGTCAGTCAGACTAAATATGCCATATCCTTGACAACTGAGGACAACACTCAGATTTTTTAAAAAAGGTAGTTTTATAAAATAGGATGGTACTAGTTAGGCTAATGGCTGCCCAAGCTGGAGTATGTGCAGTCTTGGAGACAGAATGCTGAGGATATATACCTGGTAATGAACACAATATTGTCCATACTTTACCCATAGTGTCTAAAAAAAAAGATGCCTTGATGTCTTTCAGTTGACCCATTCTCTGTTTAACTTCCTTTCCTTTGACATGACGCTATACCTTTTGTGTTCTCTTAATAACCTTAGCATAATTGCTGATAGGCTCTTGCTCCTTGTACTGCTGCTATAGGATATAGAAACAACATGCTTCCAGATCCCTGTCCTGAGGGCTTTGCAGAAGATGGGAGGCAGTAGAAGATTGTAAGGAACATTAAGGGGCTTCCAAAGCACTGAAGGGATGGAATGTTGGGGTAAACACTAATTGGTGCCTGGAAGACTTGTTCCTGGTTGTGAGATAGAAAAACTCTAAGGAATATGATAATTAAGGAAGAGGAGAAGGAAAACCAACCACTTTCCTTATTTCCAATCTTTAGGTAGGGATCAAAGCAGAGTGATCTTGGTTGTAAAGTAAAAGATTATGCTAATAAAAGATCTGAAGAACTCTGTCTACCCAGCAGGCATGTTACCACTCTATATATTCCCCATTGTTGTCAATATGGCGTAGACCTGCATTGTTTACAAGTCTGCTGTGCCAAAGGAGTAAGTAATAAATTGTCTGAATCTTCGCTTCTCAGTCCTCCAAGTTCTTTCCGTGAGATTGGTAAACAGTATGTGGGGTTTTTTGTAGCCCTGGGGTTGAAAAGTTTCCTTCATAATAAACCAGTAAATGTATAAAAGTGTTTCCCTGAGTTCTATAAAGCCATTATAGTAAGTCTTCTAACCTGAAGAAAGTTTATGGGAATCTCCAGCCTATCACTAGTCAGTCAAAAGGCTGAGAGCCCCAGATTTTCCATGCTCATAAAAAATAACAGAAGTCTGGGGAACTGAGCCCTTTAACTCTTGGGATCTGATGCTAACTCTAGGTTGATATTGTCAGAACTGAAATGAACTGTAGGACACCTTGGTGGTACCAGAAAATTGATGAGAGTCTGATATCAGAAGGCTTCTCTGTGAATAGAGAAACTTTTTCTCAGAGTATGTACGTATATATAGTTTATATATGTGTGTATGTATCTAGGAAGCAACCTAATGACATATCACCTTTATTAAGAATCTTTTAAAATTCTACTCAAGTACATAAAAGATATTGATATTGCAGGTTCATCAATATTTCATTCCAGTTTTCTCCACCTGATCTGCAGAACCCTCATAAACCTAATCAAAACTTATACGTAAGTATAAAAATCTAAATGGCTAAATCAATTTGGGCAGAGATTAGGCACAATAAAGGTGACAATATGGGTAGGAAAGGAAGTTACCATATGATATTTTAACATTTGCAATGCTAAAGCAATTAAATCAATATGACACTAATTTAATAATAGGCAAATCTGTGAAACAGAAAATATATGAAAAATATACCCATGTTGTAAAAACTTAACATATGATAAAGGTGGCACCACTACCAAAGAACCTGTAATTTAGGTTGTGATATTGGTAAAATTACTTCATTATATGAAGATAAATTGAATTGGGCATCTTTCTCTCTTGCACTATATATATAAATATAGTTAAGATGATTTTAAGACTATAAGCAAAAAATAAAACTGTAAAACTTTTATCCTAAACCTGTTAGAATAAAACCTATAAGGCAATATTTTTATAAATTTAGAATTTGAAAATGCTTTTTAAATGTGACCACTCATTACCATACACCCAAACCATAAGACAAAAAAGTTGTTATATTTAAGTGCAATTTTTAGGATTTCACTTCATAAATATAGAAAAGTTAAAAGAAACATAGATTAGAAGATAATTATGTCATCAATTATAGGCATATCATTATATAAATTATATCATTGTTTCAATTATATCATACTGCTTATTACATTATATCAATATAATATTATAAATAATAATTTACATAGTCATCATCCAAATCAGCAAGGCAAAGAGGAAAATGGGGTCCAAAAAAAGAATCAGCATCTTGAAGTAGAAATCTAAATAACTAAAAATTATTTCAAATATGCTTAACTTCACTCACCAGGAAACCACACTAAACATCAATGAACCACCATTTTACACCAACTGGAACAGTCAACATTTGAATGTTAGATGATTCCAAGTGTTTGGGAAGCTATAAAGTGGGGGGCAGGACACTGAAGCAGTGATGGTATGAGAACAACTCTTAAACACTAGCTGTACTTGGTGTCTTTATATATGCATGTATTTTTAAGAACCACACCAAGGCATAGAGCACATAGAGCACCACCATCTGAGTGAAATGCATAATGAAAAAGGAAAATGCATATTGTAAAAAACATATCTGTCATATGCCTATGGTGAGTGAAAGTAGGAGATGAAATTTAATACAAATGAGTAAATAAATAAAGTAAAGCAAGAGAGAAAGCTTGCTCCAGCTCATAATGATAAAACGTAATGAACTACGATTAACTTAATTCTGCTTCTGAATTTCAATGAGACAAGAAGAAAGGGGAGCAGGTGGGCAACTGTGTTCAGGATTGTTTATTAGGCATGAAGAATGCTATGACTGAAAGAGCACATGTTTAATATACCTAAGTTTGGAGCAAGGCTCTGCAATTTCCTAGTTTTAGGAAACCATTACTTGTATCTCACAGTAGCCTTGCAAAAGAATTTTGGGCATTTACCATTTATGCCCATTTTTATTAAAGAAAAATTGAGCTTAGAAAGATCAAGGGACCCTGGTAAAAAAGGGGGCTTCTAGTAGTTTTAAATTCTGCTGTCCTGTAAGCTAAACCAGATGAGGTGGCTGCTATGCAACTATTCTTTACCTATCTAAACAACCATTTCATAAGGCTAACCCTAAAATGGGCATGTATCTCATCTATACAATGAAAGATCCACTTATTCTGAGAAATAAGAAAGGAAAATAGCAAAGGATAGGGAAGGAAAGAACAAAAGATGAACATCCATATTATTAACTTTAAAATTTTGTAAGATTCAACAATGTTTAATGCAAGATCCTTAATAAATGTATATTAGAGCACAGAGTTCTTAGATATCATAAGCCTCAAATTACTTAGAAAAAAGTTACTATAATAAATTACCAGAAAGAAATCCAAATAAAGAAAATAATTATTGTACCTCAGGAGAACCATATATCCAGGTATGGCAGCTAAAGAATAAATAAAACTGCTAATTGTCGACAAGATTAGAAAGTACTGGAGCATCATGGAGCAGTCATGGCCTTTGTCACAAAGCCCAAGAACTGCAGATGAATTTCCTGATGTTCGAATGCAGCTACAATTTTGGAACACCTGTCAAAAATAATATATACTATTTAAGAATATGTTTAAGAATTTTGAACGCAAATCTCAATTTTTTTTATGTAGTCAGTTGGATCAAGATGGAGACTGCTGGGGCTGGGGGTGTAGCTCAATGGTAGAGCACTTGACTAACATGTGTGAGACTGTACTCCTCACACACACCACGGGAAAAAAGTATGGACAATGCTTATCCCTATGTTCCCATCTCCTTTATGGTCTCTCTCAGGATTATAGCATAAAACAAAGCATAGAAGTATAGTTTCAAAATATGACATTTTAAAAATTTGTTCTAATTTGTTATACATGATAACAGAATGCATTTCAACTAATTGTACACAAATGAAACACAGCTTCTCATTTCTCTGGGAATACAAGATGCAGTCACACCGTTTGTGCAATCATACATGTACATAGGGTAATAATGTCTGTCTTGCTCCACCATCCTTCCCCCCCTTCCCCTCCCCTCCTTCCACTCCCCTCTGCCCAATCTACCAATTTAAAAAAACCAAATGCCAAATGTTTTCTCTGATATGTGAATGCTGATCCATAATGGGGAAGGGAGAGGGAAGAATAAAATAAATGGTATTTTATGTAAATACATGAAGTAAATCTGCAATAGCTCAGCTATTCTAAATGCACACTTTTAAAAATAAAACGAACACTTACCTGCCACAATACAAAGTATGAACAACAAAATCTGTTTGATTGTTCAAATGTTTACACATAAACAAAGCTGTGTCCTCCCAAAATATAGTTTATTTTAAAAACAGACTAAAGTCATCACTTTTTGAATTATTATGTTTCCCGATCTCATTAATAATAAAAATTTGTATTTTACTTTGGTCACCAGCCAACCTTATAAGGTTGAACATTCTTGAGGCAAGAAGACATGCCTAACTCTATCTATCTTGTTTTAAAAAAAAACTGTTTTCATGTGAAAAACACAAAAAGCACTTACATAAATATACACAGAAAACAGAAGAAAAAACACAGCAATTTGAAAACAAAATTGAGAACAAAATTGCCAACTTCTTTCTCAATGATAAATTGTTTTCTGTCCAGTATGTTTTTAACCCAAATTATTTTAATAATAATCTAAACTGGCTTAAAATTACAGATAACTTCAGACACTGTGAAGGCATTACATAGATCTGAGATGTGAAAAGGTAACAAAGTGTGCATATAGAAGGTAATTTAAGTTATACAAATTTAAAAAATCTGGTTTTAAGAAAAGACTAAATTTGTTTTTAGCAGATATAGGTCCAGTTCAAAGTTAGAAAATGCTAATACAATACACAGAAGTTCTGTCAAAAAGGCTGGTAGGATGTATTACCATGTTCAATCCAGTTCCAAAGGATGTCCACAACCAGCAAGGCAACCTGACATATATGATAAATCATTGTCAATACATAGAAGTTCTGTCAAAAAGGCCAGTAAGATATGTTACCATGTTCAATCCAGTTCCAGAGGATGTCTCACAACCAGCTAGACACGCTGACATATATGATAAATCATTGTCGCCACATACAGGATCCCATGTTTTAGTTGGACAGTTGCAAGCTCTATTGCAGTCATCAAGGACTTTATTTCCCACATATAAATCTTGTTGGATTCTGAAATGATTTAAAATAATACCATGGATACAGAAACACTATTCAAGATTTGTTTTTTTTCTTTCTATCTTAATCCCCAATTATGTTTCCTCCCCTCCATCAAAATAGAAAAAGAAATCTTCTATCAATGTGTGAATTGCCTACTATAGTTCTGGTGTAAAAGATAACCAGGTGCAGTGTTACAAAGCCACTTTTTCAATGATTTATTTTAGAAAAATACAATCCATAAACAAGCACTAAGTGCCTACCATGTGGATTTGCATTTTATTTTTTTTTTTTTAGTTATAGATGGACACAATGACTTTATTTATTTTTATGTGGTGCTGATGATCAAACCCAGTACCTCACCTGTGCTAAGAAAGTGCCCTAGCACTGAGCCACAACCCCAGGCTCATGGGACGCAATTTTCCGGATATTATTAGAACTAAAACATGAAGATGACCTAATCTCTAAGGTTGATCCATGTGGGAGAAAATAATGAGAGAGCTAACTTGAAGATCAAAACCTGCTTTTTCCATTTATAATGCATTTACTTCAGAAACAAAGTCACGTGAGTAAAAAAAAATCATTCTTCTAGTTTAGTACCCAGTATTTATAATTGTGATCATGCACTAACTAATATAAGAGTCTAGAGAACGAATTCAAATCCTGTGACTAGACCAAAGTGTGACCTTCCACACGTTCTCTCTGGAAATCAGCATAATTGGAGATGCAGACAATCTTTAAGATTCTTTCCAATTTTAAAACCCACATTTCTATACTGATATGGTTGAAGAGGTTTTTTTTAACTTCTCTAATCTTCCATTTCTTCATCTATAAAATGGAATTAATAATGCCTATGTTAAGCAGAGCTTGCAAGATTCAAATCAGATAATATATGCAAAAATTATGATTTTATATTTGAAATTATTTTAATACTATAATACTTGATGACTTTAAAATGAACACTTTAGGATGCTTTTCATTTCATTTTGATTTGAAGTGAATTTTTAAAATTTCTTATTACTATGGAAAAATCTTTCTGTAAACCCAGATAAACCTCAAAATACAATATCTAAAACTATTTAATACTTTAGACATAATATCAGTAATATACATAAATTTATATATTAATTTACCATGAATTAGGATTCAATAATGCTAATTAAGCCCACCATGGAAACATCTAAAGGCTATTTGGACTGCATAGTCAACTTTTCATTTTAATATTTACAGGGTTATAAAATATATGGATAACAAATCCTAATATAACCTATAGGTAGCTTCCTTTATGTACATTTTAATGTCTACTAGTATATTACAAAGACTACCAATTATACACATACACACACAATCATAAACTCATTCACCCTGTGATGTTCACTACATTTTTAATAAACCTAGAATTTGAATGGATTGGTATATAATTGATAGGTAAAGGAAAGATGCAGGATGACCGTGGATCACTGCCATTAACTCCTAAAAAAATGATTTGGTTTTGTACAACCACTAGAGAAAATATGCTACTAACAGTCTGTTGAAAGAATATCGAATTTACTAGGAAAAAAAACATACCCTGCATAAGAGGTAGTTATGCCAGCAACTGGAGAATTATCACAAGTCGCAAGAAAACATAAAAAATAGAGAAGGTACTCAATTACAGATAACCAACATCCTATGTGGGCAGCTTGTTTAACGGTAATCTTGAACTTCTTCATAATTAAACCACCAGCAATATATCCAATGCATATTGGAGGTAAGTTATAAATACCTATAAATGCAAGTAAAATGTTATTTACAAATTAACAACAACGAAGAACAAATATGTTATCATTTTTGCCCAATATGTTTTACATAAGAAGGTATTTAGGTTGAAGTAGTGGTAATTTTAACCCTACTCAGTTACACTTCATGTACAGGGAGATTTCAAAATGACTCATAATTTCAAGTATATTTTTAAAAATTGTTATTATCATTCATTTAATTATTCACAATAGGTTTTCAATTTCTTATAGTCAGGTATCGTGATCAATGCCTCTTTTATTAGGATATACATAGGAGTAGCAAGTCCAAGTTGACCAGTAATTTATTATATCACTCTCTAGTGTGTGGGATGGGAATATATACATATATAAGTATCTTATATGTATGTGTATATATATGGTAGTTCAGTTATTTACTCCCACTTTGATTATTAAGAATTTGACTCAGTTCAAGGTACTTTAGAAAGTCATTCTGCTGAAGCTGTGGCTGTTGTGTGTGGCTATATTTCATATTTTGCTGTGGTAACCAGCATTCTTCTTTACCAGCTCTTTGTCCCCTTCTCCAATACAAAAAAAGGAAAAAGCAAAAGGGAAAGACAGCCCTAGGCTGTTTTGTATAATATCTGCATCACTGAATCATATTCTTGGATGAACTTGTTAAAACTCAAGGCATTTAGGCACACATAGCCTGGGATAGTAATTTTTTAGAAGAATAAAAAGATCTCAGGAAAAAACCCAGGCAAGGTAGAATCATTGGGGTTAGGGTAGTTACAGGAAAGGCAGAAAGTATATAGACACAGAAATATCTAAAACCATCAGGCGACCAACCAACTACATTAGGAGAATATGGAATCCAAGAATTTAAGCCAAAAGAGTAAAACATAAGAGTAAAACACAGAATCCTAATGAGTTAACTCTAATCCTTTATAAATTAATGAACTGCCTATCTGAAAATTCACTAATGTTTGCATTTCCCGAGATTTCCACAAACATTATGAATTTCTATTCTGACTGGAGAGAGAGCAGAAGAGAGAAAAAAGACAATTTCTGACCTCTTCCCCTTCATACACTTCCTTAATTTTCCTAGAGAGTGGAAAGAGAAAATTTAGCAGAGACAGGAATATCCTAAAAGACTTCAATTTAGGAGTTTTCTAATCACTTTGTCACATTGTTCACCATTTCATGGGGGGGGGAAGCACGCCAATAACTCAGAGAGAAACAAACATACCAATGAGAAAGATTGCATCAGAAGTTGATTTTCCATATTGTTGTTCCAGATATTTAGGCATAAAGGAGAACATGCTAGCAAATGCATTGAACTGTAACACACTTATAAGTATGAAAAGCATGTAAATTGGATTGCAAGAGAGACTTTTCATGAATGGTAAAAAATCTGAAATGAAAGAATGATAGTGTCAGATCAACTTGGCTTTGCATTTTGTGGCAGGTGTTTTCCTGAAATATCAACCTCCCTCCCCGATTATAGTTTGTAATGCACATATATCTATCTGTTCATTCTTTTTACTACTTGTAAGCTGAAGATACATAAGCTGAGTGGCTTCTGGAAATCAGTGATACACCTGACTGGGTAGAATTAGAACACAATAGTTTTACCTTCCCTAAGTCATTATTTAAGGAATTTTTTTAAGAGAGAGAGAGAGAGAGAGAGAGAGAGAGAGAGAGAGAGAATTTTTTAATATTTATTTTTTAGTTCTTGGCAGACACAACATCTTTGTTTGTATGTGGTGCTGAGGATAGAACCCCAAGCTGCACCGCACACCAGGCGAGCGCACTACTGCTTGAGCCACATCCCCAGCCCAATTTAAGCAAAATCTTAAAGAGACAAATACAGGGGATGGGTTTGTGGCTCAGTGGTGTAGCACTTGCCTCACATGTGTGAAGAACTGGGTTCAATTCTCAGCACCACATATAAAGAAATGAATAAAATAAAGGTCCATAAATACTAAAACAAATACAGGATCTGGGTCCACACCATTTCTTTTTTATCCTTTTCTTTTTTCTTCTATTAATATCCTCTCTTCTCTAGAGATTTCCTAGAATGGAAGATGCTTTTTCTCCACAATCTGGAAGGAAATCACTTTGATAAAGAAGTATGTACTAAAATATAGAAACTATCACTCCCTGAATATTTAAAATGAAGACATGGGAATTAATGGGATAAAAGTTTGTTTAAGTACCAGGAATTTTTCTGCTTCTTCAGAACAACAATTTCAATGGTTGTTTCAACAGTTTCAACAGTTCACAGTGGGATGTATATTAGAACTACCTGGAGATATTTGTTAAACCATATGCAGGCTCTGTTCACATAGATTTTGATTCATTTGGTACATAATAAGGACAATATAAATGATTTAACCAAATTTTTTTTTCTGCTTTAATTTGTGGCCTGTCTATGGTAAATGGGTTGAGTCACATTGCAGCTATTTTGGCTCAAATTCTAATTTCTTTTCACTTTTTCTATCTTCACGTTCTCTGTCTCAATTTCCTTGTTTTGTACTGTCCCAGTTTACTTAATATTAACTGCCTAAAACTTACTCGAGAATGAAGTATCAAGAAATAAATAAACCATTTGGTAGAAGAGGAAGCACAGCTTAATGCAAAGAAATAAATCCCACTTGTAGAATTCCTGCTTAAGAATAAGGTCCATGAAGGTACATGCAGAGGAGGGAGATGTGGTCAAAACTCTTTGGGGCTTTTTCTTTTTTTTTCTTTTTTGGTACTGGGGTTTGAACTCAGGGTACATGACCACTGAGCCAAATTCTCAGCCCTATTTTTGTATTTTATTTGGAGACAGTTTCACTGAGTTACTTAACACCTTACTGTTGCTGAAGCTGGCTTTGAACTCGTGATTCTCCTGTCTCACCCTCTGAGCCTCTGGTATTACAGGTGTGCGTCACTCGGCTCTTTGGGCTTTTTCAGTCACCCATTTTTATTGACATCCCTGTCCTAATAGAAGAGTCTTGATAGTTCAAACCTATTTAACATATTTTATCCTACTCTAAGCTCTTCCCTAGTTTTGAAAGTTGATCTTGCAAACCACAAAAAATATTCTGTGTTAATATTCTCTATCAGTCTGTATTATCCCTTTTAGAAGAATTGTTATTATAATCATGATTCTTAAAATTTTCAAGATTATAAACCAATTCTAATCTTCCAATAAGTATTAAATAACATTTAATTGTGCTTCAAGTGAATTTGTGATTGTTAATAAAAATTAATGTGTAAATTGGTATACGAGCTTGTGAATTATGGTAAAATAACAACATCAACAATGAAAATATTAGTACTAATAGGAATAAAATAGGAACATGTACCAGAATTCCTTTCACCTGTACACAATAACTCTATAATAAAAAGTAATGCTATTATTGCCATTTTACAGATAATGAAACAGCTCCCCCCCACCCCGTCACCACCCATCTTCCAAATAAATACTCTTTAAGAATTCTAATGCCCAGGCCACATTCCCTAAGAATTAACTCAAACTTCCTGAGAATACTGCACTACTTTCAAGCATCAATAAATTCTAAAACTCCTAAGTGATTCCAATGTATGCCATGTTTGGGATACAAATACTATATACTAAAATTATCTACACTGAGTTTCCCACCGAAACATCTTCTTGAAAACTTTGCCTTGAACTTTGATTAAAGATCTATATAAAAAATACTACATGAATTATGCTCTTGCATTCGCTGAAATTCAGTATGTTGCTCAATGTTACTTGTATCATACATCATATGATGATATTTTTCTACACTTTTAAACTTTGTTATTGAGGGAACAATTTCTCTTTAAAAATTATAATTCACCCCTTTATCAAATATAAAAAATCATATTATCTATAATGTTTCCTTTTTCTGCCTTAAACTCCAGGAAGCTCACAGCTAAGCTAAAATTTTGGTTATAGAACTATACTATCTATTATGATTAGTGCATATTTTTCCTACTATTGTTCTTAGTTTTAATTTCTACTTGTTCATTTTTAATTATACTTATGTTCTCTATAGAACAGATTGTTTTAAAGCAGATAGGACCAAATATATTTGCTTATTTGGAATTCCAAGAATGATTTCAATTTTTATATAAAGACTGAGATGATTTCAATTTTTATATAAAGACTTTTATATAATTTGCTTTCAAATTACATGACTTGTTTTCAAAGATTAGCACAGGAAGAATCAGAGTAGTTAGATATTATTGACTTGTGACCAGTAATAACAAAATATCTTAATAGCACACATCAGCAGCATAATATATTATAGTGCTAAGCTAAAATACAGATACACCTATATAAAATGAAAGGTAAATTATGGTGTTTAAAATGTTTATATTTGCCTTTAGTGATTCCATTCTTTTCCTTCTTGACCTCTCCTCTCTGTTTTTCTTCTTTGTCATTTTTAATGATGTCAGCATTACCCTCTAGTCCCTCCTTTGGAAGCGTTTTGGGCAAAAAGAAAAAAGGAATGGCAGTGAGGACATTCACTCCTGCACAGATCAAAAAGCCAAACCACCATGCACCAACCCAACGAGTATCAGTGGGAGTTATGGTCAGAGTATCTGTAAAGAAATGTATATATTTATATTAGTTTATGTCATATCTCTTGTATAAAATACATAAAATTATTAAAATTATAATTCTCAGGTTCATTGAAATAGAAAATTTTCATACAATTCAGACATTTATAAACTTATCTAAGGTTGATCAATGGGTATGAAGTTAAAGTTAGGAGCAAGAAGTCTTGGTGAGCTGTTGCACAGTAAGGTGACTATAAATAACAATTGTACTATACATTTTGAAAAGTTACAAGAAAGGATTTTGAAAGTTTTCCTCTTAAAGAAAAGAGAAATAGATATTATACAATGTATTCATATATCAAAACATCACATGGAATCCCATTAGTATGTATAATTTTTGTTTTATGTATCAGGTAAAATTAATTTAAAAAGATTTGTCTGACAATGTGTACTGCTATGATATAAATAATAAAGCAATAAATTAGCCTTGATTATCTATCATATCACATAAAGAATTTATAACTAGGTACTTAATAAATAACTGAAAGGTCTATTTCAGTATCCACAAGTAATCCTTTGAGTACAAAAATGTAAAACTTATGTTCTTAAATCTTTTGAAACCAAAATATGGCTGCGATACGACAGAAAGAGTAATGAACTTTGAATCAGAAGATCAGCATTTTATCTTCCTCTACTATTTACTCCACTTTGGTTGGCTGATGTAAACTTGAAATAATCTACCTTTGAGAGGGTCAAATAGGACAACAATTACATGCAATTACATTCATAAGATACTTTGCATACTCTGACACTGTTTAAATAGATTTTATTGAATTACCTGTGTTTACAGATCCAGTGTCTACATAAATGTTTGCACAGAATGACGCTAACAAAAGTCCAATCAAAGGACCAATGATAGCTCCTGTTTCTATAAACCCTAAAAAAAACCAAAAATACAATGTTACAGTATAGTTATATACTCACATAGAATCTGGTTCTATGAAAAGACTGAAGTTTTCATTTATTTTTTTTTAATTTTTTAATTTTTATTTATTTTATTTATTTTTTCATTTTTGAGAGGGATTGTGCTAGTTGTTGAATGTAGGGACTTACTCATGCTAGGCAAGTGCTTTTTTGCTTAGGTACATCCCAGTTATCTTAGATATTTTCGACTGAGATATTCAGCTTATAAGAAAAATAAACTTGGTGTGTTTATAAAATAACACTGATTTCGTAAATGTTGAAAAACAAGCTGCTATTTTTTGAATCTGCGATGTCCTCTAAAGCTTCATAGGTTAGAGGCTTAGTCCCAAGTTTGGCACGATTAGGAATTGGTACAACTTTTAAGATGTGAGGATTATTGGAAAGTCTTCAGGTCATTTGAGCCATGCCCTAAAAGAGGTGATGAGACTCCAGTCTCTTCCTCTTTCTCTCTCACTTCCTGGCCATGAAGTAAGCAGTTTCATACACATGCTTCTGCATCATGTGTTGCCTCACTACAGGCCCCAAAACAACAAGGCCAATCAATCATGAACTGAAACCTGAAACTGACAGCCAAAATAATCATTTTTTTCTTTTTTTTTTTATTGATTGTTCAAAACATTACAGAGCTCATGATATATCATCTTTCATACATTTGACTCAATTGGGTTTTGAACTCCCATTTTTACCCCAAATACAGATTGCAGAATCACATCTGTTATGTACTCATATTTTTATATAATGGCATATTAGTGACTGTTGTATTCTGCTACCTTTCCTATCCCCTACTATCCCCCCTCTCCTCCTCTCCCCTCCCATCTTCCCTCTCTACCTCCTCTGCTGTTGTTCAATTCTCTCCCTTTTTTTTCCTTCTTTATAAATTGATAGTATGGTTTAGATATGAGGTGTTCCCCAAAAGTTCATGTGTGAGATAATGCAAGAATTTTCAGAGGTAAATGACTTGATTATAAGAGGTGTGACCTAATCAGTAGATTAATCTACTGATGGATTAACTGGGTGGTAATGTAGGAAGGTAGGGTGTGGTTGGAGAAATAGATTACTGAGGGTGAGCAGAGCTCTCTGTGCTTCTTCATTTCTATGTTCTGAGCTGCCTTCCTCTCCCATACCTTTCAGCCATAATGTTCTGCCTGACATTGGGCTCAGAGCAATGGTGATGGCCATCTGTGGACTGAAACTGTGAATTAAAATAAACTTCTGCTCCTCAAATTTTTTTTTGTCATGGTGACAAAAAAAAAAAAAAAAAAACCTGACTAAAAACACTGATTATTTCAGGTACTTGTGAAAGTAACAGAAAGTTGACTAACATAGAAGCCTTATAATTTAAAGCCATTTTCTCAATACTTCCAAATTCTCTTTTATGCTGAGTAAAAGCTTTGCTCTAACAGCACAGGCACACAGGCATCCTATTGAAAAATCCATGATAAAGAACAAAATATTTTTGATGCTTACATAGCCATATTTTTAAAGAAATTCTAAAACAATAACATGTAAAATGAATTTTTTATACATATTCCTCAGAAAAACATCACTCCAAATCTTCAATTAAAAATTCCTTGAAAATAACAGGCCCTCATTATTATGGTACATCTCATTGATTTTATCACAGTCTCCTTTCTTATCCTTCACATTCTTATTTTCTACTTTCATCAGTCTCTTATATCCTCACTTGGCTTCTTAATAATTGAAAATTCATCAGCAGCCACCTCCTGATTTATCTACAATTCAGAATGTATGTTGATCCCTTCCTGATCACTGAAAATCCAGGCAGGAGCTTCTTCTGCTTACTTCATATTTTGTCTCTGCATTTTGTCTGCCTTCTCCACAGTCTCAGGGCTGAAGCTCATCTACCCCATGTAGTCCTGACTTGTCCGGTACCAACCCCTTTTATATTATCTGTGGTCTTTATCTGCCTAACACTCCCTGTTCTATGCTTACTTCATATCCCCCCACCCAATGATTGCTACACTATCTCAAAAGCACTCTGCTTTATTTCCTTTCCCTGTACTCCATCTCCATTTCCTCACCTCCTTCTCACTTGCTTAAATCTCTTCACATTATACTCAAAAGTATAGGTAATAACTCTTTGTCACTAATCCAGTGCCTATCTTGGTCTTCATCCTGCTAACTCATCCTAGAACCTCTTATTATACAAATGAACTTCCAATGACAACCTCATTTTTCCCTTCTAATTTCACTTATTATCTCTATGAAGATGATTCTCATGCTGTATACCTAACTTTCATATTCTCTCCTAAACTCCAGAGACATACATGGAACTATTTTATTGATGTCTAGGTATTAGATTTATAATTATTTCATTGTGCATACACACATGCAGATATATAACATTGATATAATTATGTAGTTATTTATTTACTAAACTCGTTGTGGACATGTATCTCATTCATCTTAATATGTAGATAAATTATCATAGTTTTACATAATATGTACCTATTATGGTTTAGATGTGAGGTGTTCCCCAAAAGCTCATATGTGAGAGAGTACAAAATGTTCAGAGGCCAAATGATCAGATTATGTAATCTTTGACCCAATCAATGGGTTATTCCACTGAAGTGGATTAACTGGGTGGTAACTATATGCAGAAATATATGACTGGAGGAAGTAAGTCACCAGGGGTATGACTTTGAGGTTTATATTTTGTCCCCAGTAAACAGCGCTTGCCCGCTCTCTTTTTTCTGTTTTTCCTCCTCTTCCTCTTCCTCCCTATTCCTCCTCCCCCTCTTCCTCCTTCTTCTTATTCTTGGTTGCCATGTCCTGAGCTGCTTCCCTCTATAATATCCTTCTTCGTGATGTTCTGCTTCACCTTAGGCCCAGAGCTATACAGCCAGCCAACAGTGGACTGAACCTCTGAAACCACAAGCCAAAATAAACTTTTCTTCCTTTAAATTGTTCTTGTTAGGTATTTTGATCATAGCAATGAAAAGCTAACTAAAACAGAAATTCATACCAAGGAGGAAGGTCACTGATGTTACTAATCTAAGCTTGTGGTTCAAAAGCCTTATGGAGTTTGTGAGAAGAATTTTGAGAAATTTAGAGATGCAAAGTATAAAAGATTTAGAATGTTGCAAGCAGAGCTTAATTGGTGATTCTAATTGGAGCACAAAAGACCAAAATGCTAATAGGACTGCGGATAGTAAAGACTGGGATCTTAAGGTTTTCAGAAGAGAAAGAAGACTAAATTGGAAATTGGACTAGAGGCTACTTATGTGGCAAAATTGTCATCTACATTTTGTCTATGTCCTGGGACATCCTGTAAGGATCAATTTAAAGATGATAAACTAATTAATTTGTTGGAGGAAATTTCAAGGCAGCAAAAAATTCAGGGGGCAGTATGGCTATTGCTGGCAGCTTTTAGCTAAATTTACTGTGATAATCAGGAGCAGAAAGCAGAGTAGAAAGATTTGAAAAATTTGCAGTTTGGCCACCAAAGTGTGAATAAAACTGAAGCCAAAGAAGTTGTGATTGTTAAGACATTACATTCACTAAAGAGACAACAGGTACCTTACCCATAAACAATAGCTTGAATGCATCTCAGAAACGGACAAGACAATGTCTTTCACAGGCTCAAAGATCTCCTTTGAAAAGAGATCCTGGGGGCATCTTGCTTGCACAGTGGGGCCTAGGAAGTCAATCATCCAAACACTCAGAGGCTGCTGAAGCCATCATCCAAAGAGGTTTGGCTACTGCTCAAGATGGTGGCAGACCTTGGCATCAACCACATGGTCCTAGTTTTGCAGGAATGAGATGCTAGAGTTATGATGACAGGGAGGTTTCCACTGAGATTTCATAGGAAGGCCAGGAAGAATGTAGCAGATTCAGAGTCCTTTGTGGGCTGTCCCTGAAAGGGTGATGCAGGAAGATGTAAGAAGGAAGCCAAAGCTACAAAGAAGACTCCTCTGAGGTCAAGAGATGCCAGTAACATGGAATATCTGTCAAGGAAGCTGCAAGAACCTACAGAGATAACCTAAGAGAGAGGCCATGTGGACTGCAACCAGTAAGGCCACAAGGGAAGAATTATACATGCCCTTTGAAAGTAACATCACGATCTCATGTTCCCAAGATGCTAGATGTGGAGCTACAGGACTTGTTTGCTCAGCTGGATTTTGATTTGTTTTGGTCCCATCTCTTCTTTCTATGCATCCATGTCTCTATTGTGAAATGAAAATGTTTACTCTGTGCCATTGAATGTTGGTACAATTTACTTTTGATCTTGGCTATCAAGAGTTTGCTAAAGTCTCAAATGAGATTTTTGGACTTGGACTTTGGGTAATGCTGTACCTGTTAAAAGACTATGGAAATGAACTTATGTATTTTTATATACATAGTATGTAAATGAACTAAATGTATTTTTTACTGTGAGATGGACATGAGATCTTAGGGGGAGCAGAGGAGGAATGTTATGGTTTAGATGTGAAGTGTGCCCCCAAAGCTCACATGTGAGATAGTGCAAGAATGCTCAGAAAATCCACTGATATGGATTAACTTGGTAGTAAATGTATGTAGATGGGGTGTAGCTGGAGAGAGTAGGTTACTGGAAGTTTAACTTTTGGGTTTATATTTTTTCCCTGGTGAGTATAGCACGTGCTTGTGCTCCACCTTCCCATCTCTCTATCTTTCTCTCCCTCTCTCCCTCTCTTTCTCTTTCCTCATTGCCAGGTCCTGAGCTGCTCTCCTCTGCCATGCCCCTCTGTCAGGATTTTCAGCCTCACCTTGGTCCCAGAGCTATGTATGGAGTTGGATGAACATAGACTGAACCTGTAGAACTGTGAGCCAAAATGAACTTTCCTCCTCTAAGTTGTTCCTGTCAGGTCTTTTGGTCACAGTGATGCAAAAGCAACTAAACCAGTACCAAAATATTTTATGAATATTAAAATAAATAATATAACAAGCTGTTTGCTAATTTATTTTAGATATGTGTGTGCAATCTTTGAATAGAAGTATGTGAAGGGATTTAAAAGGACTGAAAAGAAAAATAATGAAAGAGATTATTGTAAAGTAGTGAACCTCCAAAAAGTTCCAAAAGTTATTTGGGGGTAATTATTCAATAGTTTTTAAAATTTTAATCCATCTTGATTATATATAGGTCTGTTCTTATTTTCTTTCACTCGCTTAAAGTTATTAAGTTTATAAAAAGATAAATCTACATTAATAAGAGAATAATCCTATAGACAAAGTTTTGATTTTTTCAACTAGATAGAATAGCTAAGGAATATAAGCAAGTTATTTATAACAAATTAATATTAGAAGATTAGGAGATAATATAAGAAAGTGGCTCTTGGGTTGACTATTTACCAGATAATACATGAATATAAAAAGGTAATTATGAAGATTGCTTTTGTGAAAAAAATATGAATAATCCCCTAGGACATGGAGACTGTGATGAGGAGACACTATCAAGGAAACTAAATATACATAGAGTATCAGGGTTGTGATTGATAAGTAAGAGTTCAGAGTTAGCAAACAAGAAGCCAGCAGGAGTCATGAAGGTGGTAAAGAAGACTTGATTAAAACAATGTTTCAGAAAGATTACACTGCAAAAACATTTATAAGAAATCAATAAAAGAGCATATGGAAATAAGTGACCAACAAAGAAGTTATAATAAATTATGAAGCAATGAGAACTGAACAAAAACAGAAATAGAAAAAGTAGTGAGAAAGATCTTGAATCTTCTTAGATCTTAGAATCTTCTTAGAAAGAATGCAGTGTCAGGGAAATAGAGCATTCAGAGGACTTGAGGGACACTAGATTAGTAGTCTTTTTAATAGTAGAAAGCAGATTTTGCAGCTAGGCAAACTTATACACACGTGTAATTCCAATGACTCAGGAGGGTGAGGCAGGAGGATTGCAAGTTCAAGGCTATCCTGGGCAATTTAGAAAAACCCTTTCTCAAATTAAAAAAAAAAAATAAAAAGGACAGGGGATGTAACTCAGTGCTATGGTGTCCCTGGGTTCAATCCCTAGTACCTTAAAAAAAAGAAAAGGCAGATTTTACAAAGTGGCTTATAATTGATTGCCACATTCAAAAACCTTATGACTAACTATGCCAAGGGACTCTGCTCATCATACTGGAAATCACTAAGATTCTATGTAGACAATTAATTTTTAACCTAAGGGAACTTACTGTCTTGAATAGGAGTTAAGGCAGATTTTTAAACTTACCAATATACAAAGGAGAGTTTTCAGATTTGGCAAAATCTTCTATATAGGAAATACCCAAAGGCATGATGGGGGTTTCACCCATTCCACGTATAATATTTCCTACCAGTACATATACCCACATTAATGACTTAACTTCCTTCACACACTCTGCATTAAAATTAACAAACAAAAAAATTGCATTAGTGCTTGGATAGTAAGTGTTAGTTAGTGACAATTAATTCAAAGTTTTCTTTAAGCATTTCTTGGTTCTTATATGCCCATGACATCTTATCAATAATTTATCTACTTGGCCAGCAATGAATCATTGGGTCACCCTTATTGCATTTTTTTTTTTTTTTTGCAAGAGTGCTTAGGTATGGACAAGTATAAGTGGTGTGCTGGAACCTGTTCTTTTGGGCTGGGAGAAAAGACTACATATATCTTTTCCCAATTCAATATTTAGTGTCAATTCTTTTTGGCAGTTTGATGGGAGCATTTACATCATATAGAATTTGGCAAACACCAAATATCAGGCTTACCCCAACCCCCCCAAATTTAGTTTACCAGTAACTACTGATCCCAATTAACAGATATGAGTGTTATCCCATTCCTACACAACTTTGGGTAGAGAAGAAACACACATACACAAATATATCTCCCCATAATTCATATCACATTTATCAATATAACATTTACTTAAAACCAAGTTCCATTCAAGATTGAATTTTCTACAGCTGATAACTTTATAAAAATTAAAAATATTTAACTGGGAAATAATCACTTTATTTTCTATGGAGACTACTGTATACTGAAACTACCAAAATCTTTTAACAGTACCACCCCAATCCTTGGAGCAACACCTTCTTATTAGAGTAATAAAGACCAGGTCCAAGGGAATTGAAAACAAAAAACAAAAAAGAGAGCTCTCTGAAGACTTAGATCTACCTTTTTGCCATTTTTGTTCTAAGACCAAAAAAAGCTGTCAAGCCTTAAGGAAACACTGTAGGGTCATGTTTTCAGGAGAGTGAAAGACAAGGTACTTTCACCTCCTGTAAACTGGCCAGGCGTTGTTCACAAACATCAGGGTCCTGAGCATAATTGTATCCTGCAGTTTTTTGAGAAGTCTACCTCAAAGTCATTCCCAGTCCCAAAACATAATAGTCTCCATTTCTGAAGATTTGTTTGTTTGTTTGTTTGTTTTCCCCAATGATAAGCACAATGATTTGCATCTAGAGATCACAGACAAATCCTAGGCTTACTCTAGGGCAAAACTGAAGATGTTAAGTGATGAAAGAATGAATGCACTTTCCTGGAGATGCACCAAAGAGGGGAGGCTTTTGCTGCCCCACTGTAATGCAGACTAGTGCCTGCACAAGCCTTCTGCAAAGCCAGAGTGAGTTCAGGCTACTGGTAATGTTTTTTTTTTTTTTTTTTCTCAGTAGCTTCTTTGGCTTATCTCTTCTGAGACAGATAGTCTTTTTAACTCTGATTCCATAATGGCAGTAAGTTCCCAGCTATCAGGACTACTGCAACTTCCACTGTCACAAATCCAGGATTTAAATGTCCCCATAAGAGGAGAAGTTCTGGCTTGAGGTAAGTCAGCAGTCATATCCAGACTAAGTGTCACTAGAAGATTATTTAGATCCCTTAGCATATGAAGGAGCAGAGACCAGTATGCTGTTGCAGTTTTGTGCTAAAGTTAAAGTCAAGTCTCTGTTAAAGAAGGTCAAGGAGATGGAAAAACAAATCTCCATTAGTAGAAAGAGAATAAATTAATTCCAAATTTTAATATACTTGCTGCTTTCCTAGCTATAGAATATCAGTGATATAATACAAAGCTTTAGAACTTTTTTCTCTATTTGCTATTTGCATAATTGTAGAGACCAAATAATGAATATAAATTTATCCTTCAAAGTAATTTTTCTTTGTGGGATTAACTCTATAGTGGTCCTGGGATGGTTATCATTGACTCATTTTTTTGTTTTTTGTTTTTTGTTTTTTGCTGTACATATTGGCGATTGAACCCAGTGTCTTACTCATGCTAGGCAAGCTCTCTACCACTGATCTACATTTCCACCACTCTTTGACTCATTTTTAAATAACCATTTTAAGAAACAGGGAAATCTTACTAGATACATTGAATAAGGGATAATATTCTATATTATTAGACATTCCTATTCTCCCTCTTGTGATCCTCTCAGAATCCCAGAAGAGAGAAAATATCTTCTGTTCATTCACCAAAATCATTTAACTAAACCCAACATTTTGTCCAAAAGACCAGTTATGAATTCACTGGACAGAATGCCATACAATGAAGTAGATAACCTGATGGATCTTGTGTAGGTCTTGAAGTCTGGTTGCCATTTTCCATACACAAGAAACTGTTTGAGGACAAGTTGCTTGAAACTGAAACTGTAGATTCATATTCATATCTGTATGAATATGGGGAAAACATATTTATGTTAAAGAATTAATGAGGACAGTGTGGGCATTTTGCAGATTACTAACTCCTGCTTCACTTCAGCCACAACATTCAAATTCTATAAAGATGTCTTTTCATCTTTGTTACTCTAATGATCATAAATTAATATCATCAAAAGAATCGAATCGGCTGCTCATTGAAAATGTAGACTCCCCTTACAGTTAGCTTTCAATTCTCTACATGTCAATGTTATACCTTTTAGATTATCTGACATCAACCATCTGTGGTTTTTAGGTGACCATTTCCTGGAAATGATTAATATGGAATAAGGAACAAAAACTAAACTGAAATAGAAAACTCAACATTTAATTAAGAAAATAAAGGCTTTGGTGGGGAGGGGAACAATCTCTACCTTTGGATTCTCTGAAGTTTCCTCTTAAGAAGCATAACCATGAATTCTGAGAATCCAAAAATAATTACTCAATGTGTTCATTAACTCCTAAAAAAGGAAAAAAATTGCCTATCATAATGAGGGGCCTTAGGAGAATCTCAACTATCAGCACAGCTTAATGTAATGTTTTTTCCTCTTCTCACAAGAACAAAAGGGCTAATAGATTGTGGCCATTTAATTTAGGCAAATTACCACAGGATCCAAATATCCTTTCTCAGAAAGTAAATTACATACTACAAGATTATAGGAAATTATGTCCAACTGAGTCTCTCTTTGTTAGAAATTATTCTGGTTTTTTTTTTTAATGTGTATATTAGGTAAGAGAAAGCCAAAAGAAAACTTTCCCTTCTTAGTTGTATATGAGCTAAAGTGTTATGCTTGGATACTCTCAGTAGTCTTTAATTTCTATGCTACAGGATATAATACAAAGGGTTGAAATACCTTCTCCTTAGAACAATTGCCCAGTCATGCCCATAGAACATGGCTGTGAACTGTGAACAAAGGTTTCTATTTCCTTACTGATGAGCTCATGAGACATAAGAACTTCAAAGAAATAAGACCTTTGGCAGATGGTGGAACAAATGTAAATAACAGCCGAATATTACTTGATATTACCTTAGACAAGATAGAAAATAAAAGAGCAGTAAAAACTCTTTGCCTGAAAACAACTGATCCCTTCAAAAATACCCGAGAAGATAAAATAAAATAATTTGTTGATTTTATTTATATACTTAAAATTTAGTCTCTTATTCAAAGTCCATTTATTCATAAACACCGACCAAATAGCAATAAAATGATTTTAAAATGAAAAACGAAAAGGCACAATTCAACAAGGTTAAAAAGACTGGGAGATCTGACAATAAGGCGGAGTTTGAAGAAATGTGGAAAGTGGGAAAGCAGGTATGTCAACCGTGACTGAGTGGGAGAATGAAAAATATAGTCATAAGTGTCTACAGGGGAGCGCTTAAACACATGCTGTACATCTCTAGAAAGTTTCAGGCAATATACCTAAAACTGTAGGTGTGCATGACCCAAATTTCAAATGATTTACACACTTTGTTTTAAAGTGTACATAAAAATGAGTTAGACCTACAAAGACATCCCCTGCCTCTCACACTAAAAAGGTCCATTGAGTCTAAAGTCTAAACAGGCATACTGAGGACAGGAAGGCCATGCTAAAAACTGAGTATTCAATAAAACAGAAAAACTGCATACTAAAAAATGAGGTTACTATTCCTACCATCTGGTAGCCAAGCTTCAACTTCCCAAGCAACAGAAAGTAGAATCCTTGCCTAGGATAATTAATTAACAGGTGACGCCCAGTTCTGAGCCATCTGAAAACAACCAGTCCTTACCCTATGAAAAAGTCCTCCATTAATCAGGACAAACATGGAATTTCTAATTACCTTATTGTTGCAGTTATTCCTCTCTTAAATATGAATAACCAAGAACAAGATATATGAGGGACACTAGAGTGGTAAAGACAGAGACAAACAAAAACACTTGGAGGAGCCAGAGACAATAAAGACAGATGAAGAAAATGTAGATGGGAAAAAATATTGCCTTCTTGAAAGAATAAGATGTTCCTCAAAAAGAGATATTCAAAAAACAAAGGAGTCCTTGAAAATAAAATTTAAAAATATGATAGTATAAATTAGAAACCCATCCAAAGGTTTGGAAGACTCATCTCCTAGAAAGTAGAAGGAGATACACCATAAAATTAGAGAAAGAAGATGAGAAAAACATAAGTTTAATCCAGGATATCCAATATTCAAATAGTAGAAGTTGTAGAAAGAGAAAAAAGAGGGGTAAAGGGAGTGAGATATTATCTAAGGGGAAAAATACAAGTAATTTCCCCCAAATGTCCACTGAAAGCACCTAGAACAGAGGAGGAAAAGAACTTATGCCAAAATAATTATGAATTTCTGACTCTAGAGCTTAAAAGAAAAATCTCAATATTTCCCAGAGAAAAGAAACTGGTCACATAGATTAGAATTGCATAGTATTCTTAATAATAATAACACTGAAAAGAAAAAAATTAAAATAGCACTTTTGAATGGTTTCCAAACTATAAATCAAATGTGGAAGTAAAATAAGAATATATTCAGATGAACAATACTTTATCAGAAAGTTACTAAATTATTTTCTGGGAAAGTATTTCCCAGACAAAAATGAAACCCTTCTGACTGCATTGAGAGGGCAACTGCTCTACCAAAATGGTAAGGAATTAATGAGAGATACAAAGAAAGCTAATCAAAAGAAAAAGTCAATTATTATATCAGGAAAAAAAGTTATATAACAGAAAAAAACAACATGATTCAGTGGTGAAAAGTATTTTCAAATAATACAAATGTAAATACTGCATATGATTTTATAGTAGGAATTTTATAGTACAATGAGGTATAAAAAACTAACAAAATACAGAGGCAAACCCCCAAAAGAGCTAAGGCAGTTACAAGGTTCCAAGTGGTTGACCTTGGAAAGCAAAAATTAGGGGCAGGGGACAACTCTTTCAATATAATTTTATTTTTACAATCTTGTACATAATTATTTTGGTGAAAATTAAAATAAAAATTAACATTCAGACTGCTCTCTTTGTGACCTACAATTAAACAGAACCTTATTGCAATCAGAAGTGTCTAAATAGTGCCGAGGAAGGAGTAATTTCCAAATTCCGGCAGGTCCTAAGTATTTTTTCATCAGATTCAATCTCATGAAAGAGGTGTCCCAAATCCCTATTTCACGGATTGACAAGGTGTAATTGTGTGAGTAGAAGTGAGGCAGCAAAGGGCACAGGACAGAATTCATTTCTTCCAGCTCCTACTTCACTATTGTGTTCTTTAGGAAGCATCACTCCCAGAAGGGGAATTTCAAGCCTTGGTTCTTGCAGATAATAAACAAACCTAAAATATCATCAAAGACTGGACTACTTACCGGTTCATGAGGAAATGAGGTAGCGATATTAAGAAACACCCTAATCCCATAACCACACATCCAACACCAATCATTATAGGTCTATGTAGTTTAGTTCCAAAATAACTCACAAATATAATCAACAAAAGATTTCCTAGGGAAAAAAATTGAGAATGCTTAATTCAGTAGGTATTGACAAAATCTAAACAGCTTCAGTCAGTCATTTATACAATAGTATTTACTATCTAACAACCATCACAAGTACTGGGATTGATACTCAGGATGCATAAAACTTTTAAATAAGTAAGACAAAACTTCTGTCCTAAAGGAGGATTCTGTTTCACAATTAAGACAGATACATAAACAGATCTCTGTGGAACATCACCATTTAAAGAGGGCATAGGAAAGGAAGCTAATGAAAGATACTGAACAATAATTCTGGGGAATTTTAAACCTCTGTGATTATCCAACCTTGGGAAATAAGACACAAAAGTAGATAACAGCTTGTGTGTGACCTCTGGCCTCTCCTTCTATGCCTGTTCCACAAAAAAAAAAAAAAAAAAAACAGGAATGGAGTTAAAAGCTGAAAGAACCAAAATGTAAGTAGGTTCTTGACAAACCATACATTGTTAATTCAATAAACAATATTTACCCTGATTCCACTATGTGTAAAGAAAACCTCTATGATAAGCTTAAGGATTATAAAAATTTCAAAAAATCTTTTCCTCAAGGACTTAATTTTCTAAGTAGTGTTGAATACTTTGAAGACTTTTCTTTCAATCTCTGTTTCTTTCTAGTCTGCCTTACATATAGAACAGAAGTAGTGTTTACATTATTTTACATGGAAAGTGCCCCACATCTATAACCACATTGGCCTCTCCACATCTGTAAAATTCCCAGTACTAATGCTATCCTTGTTGAAGGTAATGTCTATGGAAGCTCACTGAAATCTGTACGTTTTTGTAAATGAAGAAAGGAAGAGCTTTCCTTCCATACATAAGTTTGAGTTCATCTTTCACGTGGCCTTGCTCTGTCAGTAAAATCATTGCCATAAGGACATAGGACAAGAGAAGTGTGGACAAGACTATGGAGAACGTGCTTATAAAAATCACCATTGGGGAATTCAAGTGAACTTACTTCTGTTTTTCTCCCTCAGCAATTTATTTTGGGTCTTCAACATTCTCAAGTCACCAATTACATCCACTCCTGGTAGAAGTAGTTAATATTTTATACTTTGTTAAGAAATCTAGGGCAATGAAATATTATGGTATCTGGTTTTCCCACCCTGGGGCCTTACTGCCTTCCTTCAGTTTCAGAGGTATTGCTGCCCATCTGACCATCCAAGTCCAAACACAACATGCATTTTCTCCAGCAATTCATACTAACAATTAAAATCTCCCTCACATATTTTAAACCTCTCACTCTCACTAAACTTTAATCTACAGATGTCTTAACTAGTTTCTCTCTAAACTTCCAAGAACATTCATCTATTCTTGCAGGTTCCCTATCCCCCCACCTCCCATTCTTTCCTGAAGTCACTGCTGTCTCCAGTACTTTTAAGCTTCTATTCTTCTTTTTCTTCTTCTTTTTTTTTTACGGTGTTAAGAGATTAAACTCAGGGTCTCACATGTACTAGGCAAGCACTTTTTACCAATGAGCCACATCCCCAGCCCTACTTTTTGCTTCTAAATCTACTGTTTAATTAAAAGTGCTTGGCACATGTCATTGATTACTTCAACACTATGAAACGGTGGAAACAGTTCTCCATCCTTATCTAATTGAATATTTCTAATGTTTTCCAACACTGTTGACACATCCTTTCACATGAAATTGAAATACATTGTTTCTTCTGGAAATTTCTATTCCCCTGGAATCTATAGTACCATTCTGTCTTGTCTATTTCTCCTACCGTTCTTTCTCTTAACACTTTCATGGGTTCTTTTTCTCCCATCTCTGGCTTAAACATTGGTACAATTCCAGGACCCACTCTTTATCCATTGTACTTACTCATTTGTATGTTTCACTTTGCAGTGCTGGAGATGGAACCAGGGATTCCTGCATGCCAGGCAAGCATTCAATCACTGAACCATATTTCTAACTCCTGTCCATTGTACTTATCCTACATCCTCTCCCTGAATAGACTCATCTGCTCTCTACGCTTAACAAACACCTACTTACTCACTATTCAATAGCTCCAGCCCAGGTGGTTTCCCAGTGCTTTACACCTGTAACTGCAATGTAAAGATCACTACCCAAAGGTCTCACAGATACCATCATGAAAAAATCGCCTAAATAAAGCTCATCATAATCTCCACAGCCACTACCATTATCTTGCTCCTCTTCCTATATTCCTAGCCTTGACACTACTATCCTTGCCACTGTCCAAGTTGGGAAGCCCTTGCCCTTACCTGCCTCTTATATGTCATCAGGTTCTCTGGAATTTAACTCCCAGATTATTTTAAGTCACTCTCTTCTCTTCATTCCTATAAGTATGATCCTGGCTCAGACAGAGATACTTTTCCCTTGGCTTCAGCATCAGCCTCCTGGACCCTCTCTTTCCTCCATCTGGTTTTCTACCTTCAAATCTATCTCAACACAGCCATAAGCATTGCCCTTATAAAATGTGAATCTGACATGGCTTTAAACAGGGATTCTTAGTAATAGGTAGAAATCACAGATGACATGAACTTGAGTGAGAAAAAAAAGTTGCATCTTTATTTTCACTAATCTCTATTAGCTTTTCCATTGATGGTAAAAAGTAGGCAATAAAATAAAAAGTAGGCAATAAAATAAAATTAGCTTTTTTTAGACAAAAAAAGCTAATTTTGTCACCAACAGAAATATAGATATTTGCATGTAATTACAGTTGTTGCAGATACTCAAATATTATTAACACCAATAATTAGTTGAAAATTAGTGCTAGATCTTGTTTAATGTGTTAAAATCCAGGACCATTATTTAAAAAGCTGTTTTTATATTTTGATATAATGCTATTTCAATATATTTGGCTTCCTTTCTACTGCTATAGTTTTTTGTTTTATGAAATTACATTATTCTGAGATCATATGGCAACAGATTACCAAAGAGGTGCTTAGCACAGAAGAAGACCAACAATACCCTTTCTGATCTCTATTGACTCTCCCTCACCCGAGACTAAAAAATATACTCCATAACAATTCCATAAGTCTCTGCCCATTTCTCACCCTTATACACCCTACCCATGTCTCCAGGTTCACATCCTAACAATTTCCACCTCAAGCTTGACTACCCAACAATACTGGGCTGAAGATTTCTCCCCACACAAGCTACTGTGCTGTTTCACCCTTGTGCTGCTGCTTCTATTGGAACTCCCTTCACATTTACCTAATACCATTTCTTCACCTGGAAAACTTTTACTCATCTTTCAAAAGCCTGTCTTTCCCAAATAAGGTTGTGTCCCCTTTCCTGTTTCTATAGGATCGTGCATGCATTTATGAACAATATTTATTGCATTCAAAATTATTACTTTGCACCTATGCCCTCCACTAGCCTGTGAGCTGAGTCTATGCAAGGAGTCTATGCCATAAATCTATGCAGGAGTTAGTTCTAACTCTATTGCCAGGAGTTAGGAGAGTCAGAGTAATATCTGAGATAGTTCTAACTTTATTGCCAGGGCACAGGAGAATCAGAGTAAGATCTGAAGCACCTGACCACAGAAGATCAGTCATCCCAGGTTTCAGTTTTGCTTCTCCTCAACCCTGGTTTTTCTTCACATTTTGGTTAAATCTATAAAAGGCAATTTTTATCTTGAAAGAAGTAGAAGCTATTATAAATCTACAAAGGAGTAGCATCACTATTTTTATGTAGCATTGTTTACAGAAATCTTTTCCTCCCTCATCTTTGTTCTCACAAATTCCCAGTTACCCCAAAAATTAGAACCTAAAAGTAAACTTCATTCTTCCCCATGGGATGTTTCTAAAATAAATTCAGAGAGAGACAGGAAACTAGTTTCTTTTTCTTTCTGAACTTAGAAAGGAGAATTGTCAACCTCCCTGGCATAAAAGGAAAAGAAAAATATTTGTGTTTTCCTTTGAAAAACAAATTCCTTTGGTCTCCCACAATACATGCTGAATTCAAAGATGACAACCTTGTTTCCCTCAGGGCTGTCAAATGATAGATTTAAATATAAATACTCTGCTACTCATGTCATGCCAGATAGCCAAGAAATTATTAGGATAAAAAAGATAGTGGTGTGATATGTAGCAATATTTAGGTATTAATTTGAGGTAATATTTAAATGGATTGTTTGTAAGCATATCATAAGTTTAGCCAGGCTATTCAATCAGTTTTAGAAAACATGTAATTCAATTAGATTAAATGGCTTAAAACAGTAAATAAAGAGAATAAAATTCAGAACAGCTCATAGATAAAACAAAATATAAACACAAGTAATGCAAAAATAATTCATTACCAATTTCAAAGCTCCCATTAATAAATCCAACTAGAGATGTCGGGATATTGAATTGTCTCTCTACTTGTGTGAGCATGGAATTCATGTAAGATCCAGATAGTGTTTTGGATACATATGCACAAGTTAATGCCAACAAAAACATCTAGAAAGAAACAAATAAGAAAACTTTATTAATAAATTATATTTTCATCATCTATTGGGAAAAAGTCCTCTGCCATTAGACTATCTCCAACTTAAGTAACTCGTGAGCTTGCAAGAAACTTTAAAACCTGACCTGTTCTTCTGGTCTGTCATGGAATGTTTTCTCTAAAAATTCAAAGTGGGACTAAATGACTAATGGCACTGAATTTTGTAGGTAGTTACAGTCTCATTATTTTATAGGCATACCTTATACATACAGAGAAACAACTAGTTATTCTAACACATAGCTGTTGATTCAAACGTCTTAAGCACTACAATGCTATCTGTTGTACAAATGAATACATATACCTTATGAAAATAAGGAATACAGAATCAAACAAAGACACTATTGATGTAGCAAATCTGTTCAAGT